TTTTGCCAGACCTTCGGCATGCTATCGTGCGTTTAGACAGTGAGTTTGAAGTTGACCTGGGCAAGGAACGCCCTTGGCTGAAACCCGTTGTTGAAGGAAGTGGGTAATGGGCAGAGAGATGGTCGCTGTAGCAAGTTCTGTGCCAGGAACTTATAATGAGGGAACAGAGGTGCTGGAGGATGGTCCTGGCTGGGCTACAGAGGCAGGCTGATTTACCAGAAAGCTTTGGCCCTCCATGTGCATCTTCCTCTTCTGATGTAGGAAGCACAATGAAGTGCTTTGTGTTGTGTCTGTACTAAGCAGCGAGACTGTCACTGGTCCTTGGGTAAGAGTTACTGCTGGGAGCGACAGCCATAAGCTGGCCTTTTCCAGCCTGACAGTGCTGTGATTCCCACCCCGCAGCAGAGGAAGCAACAAACACGAGGAGCCCTCAGCAGCCGACCAGAGGGGACGGACAAATGTGGCACCTCGGGTACGCGCTCAGCGCACACCGGCTAATCCACACGAGGCCCTCCTGTTCACCGCAGCGGAGTAGCAGCAGTGCCGGGGCCAGCTGCCCGCAGCCTCAGCACGGTGGCATGACACAGTTTGCAAAGCTGATTAGCAGCCCATTGTGGAGAACCTGGCTGGCACTTCACACGCGCGCGAGGAGCTCTGCCAGCATGGGATCAGCTCTCGCTAATCCCCTTGGACATGCTGGGTTAACCCTCTGTGTCATCGTGCGCCTGTTACAGCTCCTTTGACACGGGTTGTCTCGTTCATTAATTGTTGGCCGCGCTGCACCGGCTCCTTCGGTGCAGAGTGAAGGCCTTTCCCGTAGCTCATGGCTAGGGAAGGCGCAGCACTGCCTGATGCTCAAGGTCTTGCTTGTTCTCTCCTCTTCCAGCCATCGTACAAGGAGACTCTCTTGAAGAGATTTACAGCAAAATCAAACAGATCATTGAGGACCAGTCCGGGCACTACATCTGGGTCCCATCCCCAGAGAAACTCTGAAGATGTCCCCCACCTGCTTCCCTGTGAGCAGAAGATCTCTGAAGTCCCACCCCACCCAAGCCCTCTGCCCCAAGGGGGGGGGGATATGAAAACTATTCCTGCCCCCTTTTTTAGATCGTCGCAAAATTGAGTTTTCTAGTCCTGTTTCTTTTGTTGGGATGAACTCATCTCATTCATCATGTGACTGTTCCCACCGTTCCTGCATGGACCTTCCCGCTGCTCCGTTAGAGACAGATGAGAACCCATTCAAGGTCGTTTTTTTTTTATTATTATTATTATTATTATTAACTAAACCAAGAATCAAGATGGGAGGAGGCGGCTAAGGACTAACGTAAGAAACAAGTGAAACAACGGACTCTGAGCACATGAGCTAGTATCAGAGCTCCAGGGGCATTTTTCCAAGTGTGACTGTCTAGCAGCTCTGAACAGTGCGACAGGCAGCAGAAAGCATTTTATTTATCTGTATATGTAATTTATATATAATATAGAGAGAGATATTATATATATATTATATATATGTGTGTGTGTATGTGGACTAGGAAACCTGAGGGACCTCTCTTAAAAGGTATTGTATTATTGCAAGGATCTTTCAGTTTCTCTGTCCCAACTGCTGGGTGTAGGGAGTCCACTTGGGCAGGAAGAGTTCAAAACGGTACCAGGGGCTTTGGAAGCGCCTCCCATTGGGGCCAGCCTCCTGCCAGCTGCCCTGGGTCTATGAGGCAGAGCAGAGACTGGTGCGCTGCCTGTGCAGAAGGGACCAGAGGTCCAGAGTAACACAGCAAGGAGCAGCAGCTGATCTGAGTGAGGCTGGGAGACAGAGACTGAGCAGGAGGCTGCAGAGCAAGAGAATGGATGATACTACATATTAAATTGCACATTGTTTTACACACCACCTTATGTGTTTGCATGAGAGGTTTCCTTTTGGTTCTATTTTTTTAAGCTGATTTTAAACCAAAACCATATTGTGTTGCTGTGTTGGCTTTTTTTCATTATTCCATTTTTTCTTGTTAATAATGAACTGAATGGGTATAAAATCCAGTTTTTTAACTTATTTTTTAAGCTGGCTGTATTGTAAATAGAATCTAGATCTGCAGTGTTTAGTTAGGAAATACTCTACCGGCCGCATGGAACAAATGTACTCGCTGTCCTGTGTTGCTGTGGAAAACCTGGGATGTTGGGATGGCCCTGTACCTGTGGGCGCAGGTGAATTGACCCATTCTAGCTTGCAACAGCACACAACTGACATTCCCTTCTGCATTAGCCACTGGCAGGAAAAGCCCCCAGCTGTGCCTTGGAAGGATGCTCACACTTTTCCAAATCAGTAACAGAATTGAAAAACTTCCTCCCTCTCTTCCCTGCTCCATGCCGAATTCCCAGCTCTGCTGCGTGCAGGTGGTGGTGGCCTTCCCAGTGGAAGGGCCATCCTTCCAGCACAGCAGGGACCTCACCTGCTGCTCTGGGAGCTGGGGCTTGGCAGGTGAACACGCAGCTGCCTCACCCGCTTCTGTCTCTGCCATCTCTGCATAAATCCTCTTTCAGAAATTGCGCTCTGCTCCCTCTGTCAAGGTCACCTTAGAAAACCGAGTTGGGTGCCCTGTGCTCACAGGTCTGTGGGGCAGGGGGATGTAGAGCTGCACCCATCCGCTGTGCACTGGGATTTTTCAAGTGAGGCGACCGCTGGTGCTGAGGCAGTTGGCCCTAAGCTGAGAAATGTCTGTCTTTGAGCACACTTTGGCTTCCACACTTGAATGGGGCTCCATCATGGGAACACAGCCTTATGTGAAGCCGAGGTGAAACTCGCGCAGCCTTTGAGAAGGAGCTGTGTTGCTGGGTACTCATAGTACAGGTAGAAGAGCGCTCCCACCTTACAGAGAACTGGCGAATGCTGTTTCTCAGACACAATGCCGAGCACCAGAACAAAGGAGGTCACCATATGAGCACGAGCAGGTAAGTCTTGGCCCATTCTCCCTCCCCCTGTTTTATAAGGATAAGTGAACTTGCGGGGTGCCAGTTCCCTTTCCTGAAGGTAACGGAGGTACATGGCACACACAGGCCACGGTTTCCAGCGTGAACAAGAACTGCTGTAAGACTGTACATGTACTGTCTGGTGAGAAGCTGTCTTTACTCGTCCTGCATCACAAGGAGCCCCACAGGGACCAAGCAGCTTCCTGGGACAGAAAGCAGTGCCACAGAAGAGATGCGGCCACTAGCACAGTGGAGGGCAGGAAGGATTCTGCTGTCGGTGGGACCAACCTTAAAGGAGCGAACTTTGGCAATGGATTCCTGTTCGGCATCTAGCCCCGTGCCCCACTGGTCCTGCTCCAGATGCTATACACATCGGTCCCTGGAGAAGTGGAGTAAGTGAAACAAAAGTCCTTAAGATGCTAGTCACACCATTCCTGTCTCTTTTTTTCTTTTTTTTTTTTCTCCCCCCCTCCCCAACAGCCTGTCTCCCTCTCATCAAGTCACATGGAGAAAAAGATTATGTACTCCATGGCATAGCTGACAGTATCGAATCGATCATGACAACACTAGTTGGTTACCAGTGTTTCTTCCAAGGAGACATATATTTTTAATAAACAGAGAGTTGCAAAGAACTCTGTCTTTGAGACCTTCTTGTAGAGTCCTTTGTTGTGTGCAAGATCTGGTTTTTTTGGTGCTGATCTTAGCAACTACTGGTATGGTCTCTCCATGGCAAACTTAGGTGTTGACAGTGGTTTAAAAAAAAAAAAATGCTTTTTTAGTATAAGGTGGTCACTGAGAACTTCCCTAAAAGTAAAAGGAAATTAAAAAAAAAAAAAGAAAGGAAGTGGGCTTATTTACAACTGTAATCAGGCCACTGAAAAGCTCTTTTGGTTGGGTTGTTGTGACACAGGTTGACTCTGGTCTGATGACTTGACACCATCAATGTATTTTGGGTCATGGCTTGAATTGTGGGGAGTTTGCTTTACAAATGCAGATCAAATAATAGGGTTTATATGCTGCTACATAATTGTTCATGGATTGGATATAAAGACAGCAAAGTAAATACATAGTCCAGCTAATATAGAGAGCATCTTTACAGTTTAACATGCTGTTTAGACATCAGAGAGAAAAAGAAAGAAGTTGTAAAGACAACTAGTATCTTCTTCTAGTACCTTAAGTGCAGAAAACAGGAGTGTTCACGGGAAGACAAATGTGGTTAATGAGGTATCATTATACATTCCTGCCTGAATCTGCTTTGTCATTTAGCTGAGCTAACTGAAAGGTGAGAGGGTTTTGTTTTTTAAATCTTGATGGTTTTTTTTTCTTTCAAACTGCACACAAGAGAAGTAAAGTGAGATTTCAGGGGAAGAGGGATGTTGTACCGAGCATGGGCATACTTTGCAGACAATTCAGTTTGTGAAGCTCATTGGACAAATAAAACAGTTTAGAAACTCCTTTAACTGATCAGATCAACAGTCTTGTGGTGGTCGTTGTCCATAAAACACTGGAAGATTAAACGGTTGCTAAGCAGATCTGATGCTGGCATTACCACTCCCAAAAATCAACCTGTTTCCTTACATAGTGATGAATTTGGAACGATGAAGTTGTTGATGTAAAGCATCACAGGAAAATTGTCCATTAACGGCTGCCACGGTAGCTGCCAGGCTTCTCTGTCCAGTCTGCAGAGTTAGTTCCAGTAACTCTTGAGTTGCAGTATGTGGATCTGCAGACACTCCTCCCTAGACGATCCATGATGTGTCCTGAGCTGATGTGTCATCTTGATCTGCTCTGACAGTGAAAGGTGAAGGGTGCAGTGGGAAGAGGAACACGGGGTTATGTTCTCAAATAAATCATGCCACTCCTGTAAGAGTAACCCATGGCATGAAGGGAAAGAAGAACTTGCTCTTTTGAAGCTTTTTAACGAGCTATTTTTCTGGCAAAGAACAAATTGCTCTGCCCACCAGGACCTTAGCAAAGTCCTTCTGGACCATACAATAGCAGAGCATTGTCCTGTTAATGGTCCTGTCTCATTGTGAAATGTATGTCCTGCTACAGATGCCTGCAACAAGCATGAAAACTAATCTGCCCTAAGACACTTGTAGCAAATTAGACCATTAGCTGCTTGTGCTATAGAGACACATGTCTATGCTTCTGTCTGCAGATCTGGTTGTTAATTAACTGTCTTGGCCCTTGTTAAGCAGAGGAGCACAAGATCTGTAAGGCTACTGGAAGAGGAGTTTTAAAGGAATTTAATAATAATTTTCTCAGAAGTTTTCTCCCCATTGGTGCCTGAGATGCAGGCACCTGGACAGCTATCTTAGATGCATCTTTTCTTGCTAATGATGCTTGGCAGCATAACCTTCAAGGACTGCTATTCTCTGCTTTCCTCAAGCTGTCACAGCAGGGTTCGTGGCACTAAAGCATCTGCTGTGAAGCGGGTAAAGTTATCAATCATCATGTTAAAGATTCTTTCCTTGAAGAATCCTTAGGTACCCCCCGACCTTTAGTGTTTCTTTACAGCCCTTGCCTCCAAAATGAAGGTCATGTTGTTTGACTTGTTTTTTTAACCCTAAGGAAAAACGTTTAAGTTGTTGGGTCAGTCAGTGCAGTGTCTGTTAACGGTGCAAGCACACAGGAGCACTGTGGGAGTAGCAATACCTTGTCAGGGCCACTCTTGGCTCACCACAGGGGTGACAGTGGTATTTCCTCCCTTAGTTCCAGTGCACTACTTGACAAAAGCTTCAGCCCTCTTCCAGTTACCTTGCTTTCTGATCACTGTGATGACTTCAATTCTAAGTGCTGGAGGCCAGACCGGCCCCTCTTCCTTCCTGCCTCTCCAGAATGCTCAATGCAGCCACGACATTAGCAACAGTGAAGCTCTTCTCAAACTGTATGGTGGGAGGTAGACCAAGGTGCACCCCAAGTGGAAAGCTGCTGGAGAGCCAGTGCTCCTACTGCAGGTGCCTCTGGGTGAGAGGTGGCAGAGAGGGCTCCAGGGCTCAGCGGCTATGGCTCTGTCTTCTCTGCCCTGCCCC